TTAATATGGGGCGGGGTTTAATTACATTTATACATTTATTACATTTATATTACATATATATATATATATATATATATATATATATTAGTGCTGTCAGTCGATTCAAAAAATGTACTAATTAATCACACTTTTTTTGCAAAATTAATAGCGATTAATCACATTTACAAGACTGAAACTTGTATTTTGGTATTAAAATGTAAAATTAATGTAAACGCAAGACAAAAACTATTTCAATTCAAAATATAATTGTTTATTAAAATTTTTGTTTGTAACACAGATTTCTTCATGTAAACAACAAACCCAAAATAAACCATCAAGATCCTGCTTGACAGCCATATTTATTACAGAAATAAAAACACAGGCATGTTAATGCCATTTGAATTTCAAAACAAAAAACAATGCCAATAAACAAAACATTGACTTCCAAGTTGGATTGTAAGTGGACTGCAAAAAAATGTCAAAATACAGGAATTGCAGATACGGAAAATTCTAATAATAATAAAGTATTTAATACAAACAATTGTACTTATTGTAAAGTTGTATTGCTGTGAGTTGAGAACCTTAATTATAAAGTAGAAACAATTTTACTCAGTCCTCCTTTACATTCAGACAGTTGCTAAAACAGTCCAGTCTGTTGACATTATCAGGGGACAATGTGGACCTTTTCTTTTAAATGATGTGAGCTGAGAGTTCAGCACAATCTCACGGCATTTCGTAACTTTTTAATTTAGTGGCTAAGGACAACAACGTTTAGGCAGGTTTGTTGCTAAGAAACGCACGTAGACGCACACACACACACACACACACACACACACACACACACACACACACACACACACACACACACACACACAGACACACACACAGACATAGACACACACACTCACATTCACACACACACACACACACACACTGCGCGCAGGACAGCGCAGCCGGAGCGACTCCCTTCAGATTCAACACACATGATCGCGTTCATCAAATTTGCTGAAACTAAGCGTTCTAAAGTACTACTGTATTTCACAAAGATGCTGAAGCAGACACTTGCGTTTAAGGGGGAAACACGTCAAACTTAATAAAACATTGGAGGGCGCATGCTGAAGGCACTATTCTTAGAAATAAACTGCATAGTTATAATCTAAACAACAACATTCTCGACTAAAAATGCCTTAAGAGAACATTATGTTGCCCAACAGCAGCAATATTTGTCAAACTGTAGAGTGTCTCTCTGCTTATCGCTGTATTTAATACACAAGGGTGAAGAGGGGGTACAAGTGCTGTTACTGGCAGTGTATTGCACGGCTATCAACCAATCAGATTCAAGAACCAGACCGACACACAGAAATATAAAAAATATACACACTACATTCAGTAAAAATGAGCGATTATTTTGGATGCGAGTAATTGATAGTTCTAGTAACTTCACTTAAAAGGTTATAAATCAATTATTTTAATTGCTTTTTCAAAAGACCCAATGTCAGACAGACTTATCTCCTAACTAACATCCTAACTCTTCCTGTTCACCTTTTGTTGTGTTTGTGCAGGTTTTCTGTCGGCGCTGGTCCAGGATCAGCCGCTGGAGGAGTGCATCCGTGCAGGTCACTACGCCGCTCACGTCATCATCCGCAGATCCGGCTGCACCTTCCCAGAGAAACCCGATTTCCACTAAATCACTCACAACATCCAGGAATCTTTCCATCTCGTTTTGCTGAAATTCCAGAAACACAACCTGCGTGCCTCTGCATCGGTTTAGACGCGTTTACTGTTAAACGGGCATTTATCAGGACTGCAGCGACCACATGTAAACAGTCAAGCCTGAAATTATTCACCCCCGCCCCGACAAGGTGCATTTATTCAACCAGCAGGTATTTTTGGACCGTAAATGACACCGGCTTCTCCTGAAAGATAATAAGAGGATGTAGAAGAGGCGTCAATGAGGAAAACGAATATTTCCCAGCTTTTATTAACATGTGAACACAAACTTTAAGTCAGAATTTGCCAGGGGAATGAATAATTTCATGCTTGACTAATATCACAGTTTGTCTTCGATCTGTTTTTATGCTACACTGCAATATTATTTCTATATTTAATCTATTAAAGACCCTTTAAGTGCATTTATATTTCTTCTAAATTGATGATAGTAAGTTAAGTTAACAGGATTGTGTAGAATGTTTGTGTCTTTCGGGTCTGTATTGTTATGAAATGCCAAATTGTATCTTAAGCGCACAATCTTTGAATATGCATAAGCTATATCTGAAGAGTCTTCATTTCTGAAACAAGATGGTTCAGCTGACCAGTTTAATAAAAGGTTTTAATTGTGTACAAGTTGTGTATCTCTGTATTAAAGGTGACTATTGGTCAAAATAACCAAGAAGGTGTCATGTTTACAGTATATTTATTTTAGACCACAAAATACCATAGTTTTTTATTAAGATTTGGGGATGAAGTTGGGGATGTTTTCATCCACTTTAAAGTGATTTTGAGGCTTCATTTGGCCACAACTTTTTCTGTGTTTCTGATAACGTGGTGATTAATGGTGACAAATCTTATTTTGGCACATATTTAAGTGAAATGCTTTGGAATTGTTTAAAAAAAAACTCTAAAATAGACTCTGGGCAAATTGACTTCCCTTTGGTTGTGTTGGGGGCTGTTTTTACCCCATTGACTTTCATTATATTGACATTTTTTATTGCAAAGCCTTGGCAGCATATACTCATGCATTCTTAATTGTTGCTGATTTTCCTTGTTGGGAAGAGGGACAATTTGTAAGTTTTACTGGTGATCATCAGTTGTCACCATTAACCTTTTAGAAAGGCCTGTGCAAATAAAATTCTGGCTTTTATATGAGTTATATGGAGTAAAACAATAAATTTAGTATTCTGAAACTGCTGAAAAAAACTGCTTAAACCAGCCTAGGCTGGTTGGCTGGTTTTGGTTGGTTGACCAGCCTGTTTTTTAGAGGGATTTTGGCCATTCCAGGATCTTTTAAGTTGACCGGCTAAAACCAGCTTGACCATCCTAGCCAAATACAGTTATGTCCTGGATAAACCAGGTTGATCAAGCTGGAAACCAGCTTGGAAATGGCCAAAACCCCTCTAAAACCAGGCAACCAGCCTTAAACAGTTTTTGTTTTTACAGGAAATTTTTAAAGACACTTCAACTTTATTATTGAATTGGTCGAAGAAGCAAAGTCTTGCCACACTATATATATATATATATATATATATATATATATATATATATATATATATATATATATATATATATA